AGTGTTTATTACGTTTGAAATATGGATATTTTTCTTACAAAAAATCATGGATTCGCTACAGGGGGCCTTTATTCATCCCCCGGAGCCGTCTGCGGTACGTTTTATTATGAATGCGCGAGCTTTATTTGACGACTTGTGGACTGTTCAACTGCAACACCCGCAGACTGCAATGATAGAGCTTGGAATAGCCAGGACAATTTTTAATATAACTCTGACTGGATTCGTCTGAAAGAAGAAAGTCATATACACCTAGGATGCTTCGAGGGTAAGTAAAACACAAGCTAATTTTCATTTTTGGGTGAACTAACCCTTTAAGAGTCGATTATAGAATAAAGGTCTGAGAGGGAATTATAGATTAAATGGAGCAAAAAAACAGTAAGAGGAAAAAGCAAACAAAGGATGCTGGGAAAAAATGAAAGGAAGAGGAAACATTAAATGGCTGTAATTTTCACACACAAAAAAATCTGCATTGCTTTTTGGTGTGCATGTAAAAATGTAATATAACCCGATTAAAAAATGTTTCTTCAGGTGGTAAGATCTAAATTAACTGGTTTACGCTACAAAAATATATTTTAAAGGTCAGATCATGTAAAAATATCTCATTAAGATATAGTACTTCAAAGTTGCTCATTATTATAGAGTTAAAAAATAACAGTACCACAAGTATTAACATATGAATCAACCAAAGCTTTATGCATTATAAAGCATCAGATAAATACATTATCATCAATATTTACTGATGTTTAGAGCCTTGCAGTTTAAAGAACTTATAGAAGTATAGGATCTTTGACATAAATACACATTTATGTATGATATTTAATGTGTTTGCATGTGCTGTGGGTGTATTAAGTAGCTGGATAAATCAAAAAAGATAAAACAGAAAAGCTGTGAATAAATGCATGCAAATAATAAAAGACAGAGAGAGGGAGGGGACTATGATCAACCCACTGCTGTTAGTGAGCTAGTTCTGCTGCATGACATTGTTAAAAAATATCACAAGGTCTACATGTAGGGCGGGAGGTAGATTTGCAGTTCCCATGGAAACTCGGGCACCATGCCTCACGAGAGAGACGTTCCCTTACTTTAACATCAGCGGATCCCTTGGACGATCTATGCGAAAATTGCAACGTTTCGGGTCAGCAGCAGCCAAGCTAAACAAAGCAGAGCAATGCTTTAAAAATGCATGAATAGAATGTGTTAAGCAAATTCATTTAAATCTGAACTATCAATGTAAAATCTCAACCAAATTAGATGATTGCTTACTGACTAACCTAAACTATACATAGACAAAACATTTGGTTATAGTCACATTACATACATTGAAAGAGGTGTGCAATTTCTGTGCCACTTGTGGCTCCAAAGTGAATTAGAAATCACTGTTTTCAAACAGGTTTCCTGAACACTTCCCATATCAGCCACTGGATGGACAGACAGAAAGTTCCGTCCCAAACTCAAGGTTGAGCAAATGTTGCTGTATCGAGCTGGTGAGAAACAGCATCTTCAAATAACTGTTTATAAGTCTCTCTGTATTTTTAGCTGAGACGGAAGGTATTTTAATATGAAAAAGAAAAACAATTCAGTTTTAACAAATTTTTGTCCATCTCAAATTATGTCTCATTTGTTATTTTATAGGTAGATTGCCTTTGTTTTGATACCATTTTGGTCACGTTTTGTGCTGATAATAGGTCAAAGGTAATCTTTGAGCTAGAACACAACCACAGACAGACATGACCTATGAGCTAGAGGGTTACTGTAAGAAGCCTTATCATCAGCGACGAGCTTGAGCAAGGAACTTAAGCCTAGGAAGCTGTAGGCCATCACAGCAATTAGTGTGCCGTACATTACTTTAGATAAAAAGTGTGTGCTAAAATGTAAATGTGGAATACATAAAAAACTGATGACAACAAATATTCTGATGTGCAAAACCTTAATAATATGCCCTGTCTAAAACCTAGTGAGCTGCATCATAACCAAAAATTTAAAACTCTGTCATTATTTATCACTATACATGTTGTTCCAAACATGCATGTCTTTCTTTCTTCTGCAGAACACAAATATATTCTGAATAAATGTTTTTTTCCATACAATGAAATTATTGGGTCCAAACCAACACAGGACCCCACTGACTTTAATTATGTTAACATGCACTAATTTTCATCAACCCAAATGAATCCAATCTGATTTCAGATTTTGAACATTGATTATATGAAACAAGAAGTCCACAATCTGATTCACTTATTTATTTACATGTACATGTGGGAGGGGGGTCTTTTTTCATCAGATAATGGTGTCAATCCAGTTCCTAACAGAATATGGTTGCATTAAAATGTAACTAGTGCATGTAGAAAAAAATTTAAAGCGCCTTTTGTTTCACAGGAGAAAATGAGTCATACAGATTTAGAGCAACATCAGGGTAAATAAAGTAAATGATGACAGAATTTTCATTTTGGAGTAAACTATGTCCGTAAGATACCTCGATTTGCCCCACTTCTAACACGTGTATCCAATGAATAAATACAGTATACTTCATATTTCATTCAATACTGAAAATAATTCATAAAAATAGTTTATTTGAGCATTTTTTTGTTATAGTATGACACTACTAGTTTAAGCAACACGATACCAGCAATTTTTTGAAATTGATATCAGCTGTGAATTGAGCTCCTGTGTGGAGCACTTTTTGTGTGGTGTGTTGCTGCCTGTGTAGAGCGTTCCAAATCAGCCATTTATGAGGTTCCGTGATGGTTAGGAGGCTGCTTTAAGGCACAAGTATGCTTCAACTGTTTGTTTGCAGCTACATCTCGCACATGATACACGTGATGTAAAATTCGTTATCAACAGTGTTCACTCGCACCGTGCTTATGCAGCCCACAATTTCCAGCCTCAAGCACATTTGCGCATCTGAACTCGTCCTTTGCACATGTCCCTGGAATTTACTGCACTAATTGGTGGGTCAATTAGGTGGCAACACATATTTGGCCCGTTGGACCATTGCACTACTCCAAGAAAAAAAAAAGTAAAATGTTAATAAAAACAACAGAAGGCAAATTTGGAAACAATACAAATGGAAATGCAATGTGGCCAGATGGTACCTGTGTTTACAACTAGAGTTTGAAACAGAATAAAGTTGGCACAAATTAGCTCATAAGGATTTGGAAAAGGCTATTCAGAAGAAATGTGTTTAAAAAAATGCAAAAGTAATTCTTGGATTTTAACAATTAAACAGCCCACCATAAAACAAAATATGTGTGCTATAGTGTAAATGTGTTTCATGTTCTACAACTGTTTTCTCCTTGCAGCCTGTAGATTTGAAAGCAGCCACTTTTATTTCTCATACAACTTTAACTACTGTGTGCTCTCATTTCCCTCCTTCCATTCAATCTTTATCAGATGATAAACACTGAAAACAGAAGGAGAATTGAATCGATGACAGGAGGCTAAAACTCTTGCCATGCTGTGGAAGTGGCACAATTCTTACACATATATCACAGGTTTCACCCTATCTAGGACTCTCAATAGGGATCCTCCAGAGCATTGCAGCAGAGATTCAAAGTAGGTCGACCTGAACTTGCACACTCTGATTTATATCATGTGGACAGTGGCCAAGTCAATTTTAAGGAAATGGCTGTGGAATTTTGGACAGCCATGGATAATTTATACATTTTTAAAAATGGAACAAAAAAAGAATTGGAACAGACAAGAATATTAAACATACAGTCTAAAACTCTGAAACCACACTGAAAATCTGGCCTTTTAAGGAATAGTCTGCCCAAAAATGAAAATTTGATGTAGATTTTACTTACCCTCAGGCCATCCAAGATGTAGATGAGTTTGTTTCTTCATTGGAACAGATGTGGACACATTTAGCATTACATCACTTGCTCACCAATGGATCCTCTGCAGTGAATGGGTGCCGTCAGAATGAGAGTCCAAACAGCTGATAAAAACACCACAATAATCCACAAGTAATCCACACCACTCCAGTCCATTAATATCTAGTGAAATGAAAAGCTGTGTGTGCGTATATATATATATATATATATATATATATATATATATACACATAAACACAAATTGTCCATTACTGATTGATGACAAAACTTGTAGTTAGTAATGTAATCCATTACATTACACATATAGGTAATATAATCTGACTACTTTTAGAATACTTTTTGACCTTTCTCATTTATCACATTGATTTAAATAGGATAACATTGTACTGTATTGACATAAAAATACAAAGAATAATAAAATATGTTGCATTCATTGTTGTTAACAACATGAAGTGCATTAAACATTACATTAAATCAAGGTTTCCCAAACTGTGTTTTGTAAAGGAACTGCAGGGGGTTCATAAGTTTAATGGAAAGCTAATTAATTAAATCACAAAAATGTTAAATTAATAAAAATGTAAAATCAAAATAAAACGTAAAATATTTGTTTACCTGCATGTCACAATTATCCATCGTCAGAGAACTGTGAACAAGAAAATTTGATATTTAATTATTAAAATATTTATTTTAAAATCTCAGGGGGATTTCAAGTAAATATGTTAGTTGGGTGAAAGAGGTTCAGATGAAAAAAAAAAACGTGTGTGTTATTACAATAAAAATGACAAATAAATGAATAAATAAATGAATAAATAAATAAATAAAATGCAAAATAATGCAAAAACAGAATTAATTCCACTGTGGTTATTCAGGAAAGGCCCACTTCTCCTTGTCTAGACACATCATGACAGCTTTTGGATGACAGCTCTCTTCCATTTATAACAGGTTAATTTACAATAATATAACGTTACAGTAAGTTAGACATTAGAAGCTCCACTTTCTTCAGCTGATAAAATGGGTCAACAGTTGCTTAACTGCAAACCACATGAGCAGTTAATTTTTAACAAGTCCAAAAAACGAATATAAACAAGCCACGGCGTTTTTATTAAGAGAGAAAAAGGGGTTTGGCCTCATAAACAGGAAGAGACTAGAGTCAGGTAACCAGAAACCGCTCTTTCATTCTGTGCGTCGCGGTGGGAGAGGCACAAAGTTTGCAGTGGATGTTTGAATCTCGTTTCTTTTACTTGATGTCATCATAACGGCGTTTTGTATATCGCTTGGCAGCAATTTCGAACTAACTGGTTTTAAACGTTGAATTGAAGCCATAAATCTTTCCTTTGCTCTTGGCGAAGCTCCTCAGGTGTTTTGTTTTTCCAGCAGAAGACGCGCTAAAGTTTGTCATTCGGCGTAGAGACATTAGATGCAAACTCTTGCCTCATTTGAACTATATTAGTTCCGCTTTCCGATTGTTTGTATATAAACACTTCATTAGGCTGCCTATTCAGAAGGACATACGGGCCAGTGCATCAGGTAAGGATGGTTTAAAGCTATTGAGGGTTTGTTTGTTACTTAGCCAACAGGTAGCGTTTTTATTAGTCTGTGATATTAGCATGATTTTCTTCGCGCACGTACTGCACATTAGGCCATGAAAAGCACATCCGTTTAATGCGCGGTTTATGATCAGTCGTAGGTAATTATCAATTTGTATAATTATAAATAAGCATGCCTGAGATCTTAAATTTAAGTTAAAAAAATATTTGTAAAGTTTTTATAATTATAATCTTTGTATTCGTGTCAGTTTCATATGTTTTTTGAAAAATGTTATTTATACCATTTTATAGAAGTTATTTTTGTATGGCTCTAAAAATGTCAAGGGGTGTAACCATTAAGCAAAAACTACTAAATACAAAACGTGTCTCTGCATGACATGGACAAAATGTAGCCTATGATATTTAGAGAGAGAGAGAGAGTGAGAGAGAAACTTATTGACCTTGAGATGCACAATCATAGGGGAGTCCTCTCAATGACTTATTTCATTTATTTATTTTTGGCCACTTGCATATTGGTTAGGCCACACTGACATGGATTTGGCAGACAAATGTTTTAAAAATATATATATAAAAAAATATTTTATAACAGCAACTGCTGTTATAAACTGTTTGTAACTGCTGTTATACACTGCTGTAACACACCGACTTGGATTTGGCAGACAAATGTTTTAAAACATAAAATCTTTTATAACAGCAACTGCTTTGTTGTTTTAATGAACAAGGATAATTTTAGATACTTTTTTTCTTGTTGAACAGTTACACTACACCTAGACATTTTTGATATTTGGTCCTAAAAAAAAAACAGGATTTGAAAATATTAATCACAATCACAGAAGGGTTTTATTGATTTTTATTTTATGTTTTTGTAATAAAATAGGGTTCTTAATGTATTTTTGAGTAGTGCAATAAATAATAATAGTGTCATGTCACTGAGTTGAACAAAAGTGAAATCTTTAAAAATAAAAATTACAAAAGAAAAAAAATCACACTGTCATTGGTAGTTGCAATTTCATATTGCATACACAATTGTAAATTGCCTACAGCAGGTATATGAAACCTGGCTTGACAGTGTCAAGTAACACAAACATTTACCACAGTTTTATTACTATGCCTCAGTCTTTACTATTCTTGCTACAGTAAAACTACAGAAGTGTTCAAAGGCACACTTTTTAGACACTGCTGTTTTAAGGGGTTTAATATTCAATGCACAAATAATACTTTGTTTAAAGTTAATCTCACATGGCTTGATATAACTTGACGTGCCAAGCAGGTGTCTCCATGTTTAAACCAGGAGTTTGCAACACCCTGTGCTGTTAATCCCATCAGCCTACGTGGTAACAGAACTAAATACATCAGTTTAGTTTTCACAGGCTATCAATTGTTGTTTGATGCAAGGATCAGTACAGTACTGGATCGGTTCTGTCTGTGCAATCCATAGCAGAACAAAAGTATTATAACATCTAAATAAGTACCAAGTTTACATATTCCACATTTAAAGTAAGAATATATTTGCAGATACTTTGCAGGATTAGTTGCCAACCCAATTTCATGCTGCAGTCATTTTTAAAGGCATGCACACACAGAATTTGGACATTGTAAATATATAAGTGTGTCAACACGAAGAGCAAAATGGAGCTCTTAGAATTCACTGAACTGAATGATTGGAGAGAAAAAGAGAATCCACCTGAAGTTTTCCTCACCCCTCAAGTTGTCTGCTCGCTTGTCTGTGCAAGAACTGCTTACCATTGACAAAAAGAGATTTTATCTGGAACTGAGGAATAAACAGGTCTAAAACAACCGGTAGCAGAGCTGGAAACTGTCCTTGTCATTGCGGTTGCATCCTGTTCAAGTGATTTAAACTAATTCCATCTGGTGCTTTTCCACCCATGAAGGGAGGAACTTTAAAGTGCAGTTCAGGTCCAGCAGAGTCAAAAGTACAGAGATATAGAAAATGAAAATAAAAGTGCAGACAGTCAGCAAGAGAAAATTGAGTGGTATAGAGATGGAACGGTCTCACTTGGCCATCGTGTCCTGGTGAAGATGCTCTGAATTGTTCCTTCCTAGACCTCTAGATGATGGATGTTCAGTTTGCTGAAGGGAAATTCCTTACTGCCATGGAGTCACTATGCCATCAAATACTCAATTACACCAAGAAAAATGACCTGTGTGCAGTCTGAAGCATTGATTTGCCTCTGGATTTAAAGCAGGACACACTTTGACAGACAGTTATTAATTGCTTCTCTCTTGTGATAAATAAAAATTTAAGGCTGAAGTGTGTATTTTTTTGATGTTAAAACATTTAAATTGTTAAATTGTTGTTTGAGCCTGATGTAGCAACAATAACTGAACCAATAGCATGAGTTTGAGACAGGACAGTTTTTCGGATCAATGGTGGATGGGGGAGTGTTCAGGGAAACATGTTTGAAAACAATCAGTGTTTTAGCAATTCTGTTTGGTGTTGCATATGGCACAGTTAGATATTAGATAACTTAGATTTCATTGTTAAAGTTAGAACAACTTGAAATTTTCTTTAAAGACATTTGTAGACGCTACAGTACACTCTTAAAAATATTAGTTCTTTATTGGAACCTGAGGTTCCAAATAGAACATTTAACTTCCAACGAACATTTCCATTGGTTCTTTATCGTGGAAAAAGTTCTTTATTTCTTTACATAAAAATGGTTTTAAGAACTGTTTACTGAAATGTTTTTTGGGGAACCCAAATTGGTTCTTACATGACATTTGCTGTGAAAACCACTTTTAGGAACCTTTAATTTTAAGAGTGTATACAATTCAGTAGTTCTGCATAGTCATTCAATAATGAGGCACATCCAAATCCTAACAAAACAAGACTGATGGGTTGATGTTTATTGGTGTGAAATCTGTGATATGCAAATTCAGATGGAGGGCTGCTGCTGCTGGTGAGATGTTCCAGTTCTTTGGGTTCCTCTCGGGGTTGGTCTGTAGGCGTTGGACATGTATGTTTGCCAGGATAATTTAAGAGAGATGAGAGAAGGCTACAATCAATCTAAATGCACCCCCAAAGGTACACTGTCACCATAATCAGAAAATAACCCAGAAATCTCTGGAGGCAACCTGTCTAAGAGTTTAAAAGCTTTTGTTTCTTTTCCACATGGGATGGTGCGAACAGATCTACTTTGAGAACTGTGTCGTGCTATTAGATGCATTTCTGTTTGGATGCTAAATTGTTGTTTATACATGCAGCCTTCCAGAGAACCTCTTTGCACAACAGCCTGAGGCCAAAGACGCTGTTGCTCAGTGTGTAATTTTACACGGAGTATTTCCCCCATCATCCCTCGCTGCTGTCTTAGTACTCATCTCTCAGTGTGCGCTTGGACCGTTTCACAGCGTCCTGCTGGCTAAAGAATTGGCTAGCTGTTGGAGACGTGTTTACTTTTGATGGCAAACCACTGTGTAAAACCACAGGAGGACAATGCGACGACATCACACTGCTGATTTTTTGCTTGTACACACATGCAAAAGTTGTTAAAGAAATAGTTAGCCCAAAAATTAAAGCTTTGCCATAATTTTCTTATACCCTCATGTTGTTCCAAAAACCTAAATGTCTTTCTTCCCTGGAATACAAAAGGAGAGATATAGCCTCTTATTTTCGTATGGCACAGATGTCATGTTCATTTCATTTGAAAACTGAGATATTGTTTATTTCAGTATGTTTACAGTCTTCATAATAGTTTCTCGGTGTAGGTAAAGGGTGAAGGTGAGCTCAAATCAAACTGCCTGAATCCCATCTTAATTTCATTGTGAAAATATGCAGTGGAATGACATCAGAATCAGAATCAGAATCAGAAGAGCTTTATTACCAAGTATGTTTACACACACAAGGAATTTGACTTGACGACAGGTAGTGGTGCCCAGGAACCTGAATGACTCCACTGCAGTCACAGTGCTGTCCATGATGGTGAGTGGGGGGAGTGCAGGGGGTTTTCTCCCTGTGGACATCACATCTCCACTGGACTCGCTGTCACTCAGAGCTTATTATTATCTCATATAAGAGAAGCTGCTGGGCCTTGGGAAGCTAACACACCCTTCTCAATGGCCTGCAGGTAATAAATCTGAAGTTTACTGAGCGTCTCTGTCTATTTTTACTGGTGGGCTCAGTTGCCCAGAGGTTCTGCTCTGTGCTGTGTTAGTTTTATAAGTGAGTAAATCTTGGTGAATTGGATCTAACTTGACTACAACTTTGTGTAGTTCGATAATAGAATGTTATGAAGGTTTTTTTTCTAGATACTAAAAGTGCTTTACAATAAACTTATCACAGTCCTTCTGATGCAGCCTTGGGTTAAAGTATTGATAGACTGATATATTGGTGAGACCAATGAATTGGCCAATATTTGGTCATTTGAGATACTGGGAATTATCTCATCAGCCAATAAACATAACTGCTTGGACAGAGTGACTCCTCTGTTAATAATTTTGTTAAAGAATAATTGAAATTGCTAGTAAATTTTGAGTAAATATTGTGTAAAATGTATGAAGCCTCTAAAGTGACATTTGAAGAAAACATATTAATGTGCACAAGAAAGCTTTTGTGCATGTTTCTGAAAATAATTCGGGTTTTTTTCTGCAAATGTCACTCATTTTAAATGTCAAGACTGACTTGTTATGTTTAGTTGCAATATCAGCATTATATCGGCCATTGGCAACTTTGATTTCTATATGTTGTCAATGATGCAACCAAATATTGTGAGAAGACCAAACATAATAGTTTGAGAATTGGTCATTGAAACACCATATTTATAATTGCATGTCCTCACTAATGTTTGTGGTTATGGCCCTGGATATTGGTGTAAGCATCAGCCACTGAAAACCTATAACTAGTTAAGACAGGGATGCCCAATCCTGTTCCTTGAGATCTATCTTCCCGCAAAGTTCAGCTCCAGCCCTGATCAAACATAGCTGAACCAACTCATTAAGATTTTCAGGAGCACTTGATAATTA